GCCCATCAGGTGAGCATGTCCTGAGAGGGAAGTGTTCTGGGTGCAGGAGTACTCCCTAGGTTTCAGGGTGCCCTGGAAGACCTAAGGTCCTGAGCTGTGGGGGGGTGTCCCTTAAAGGGTCAGGGCCCGTGTGCTGGGCGTGCAGAATGTACTTCCCCGGGTCTGAGGAACCTCGAGAGCCGCAGAGGTCTACTGTGGGGTCAGGTTGTCCTTGAAAGAATTAGTCAATGTTGGACTCATGGCGAAACACAGTCTCATTCTGTATCCTGAAGCCCGGGGTAGGTGCGGAGTCAGGATGCCCGCTGGATTCAGCACGCTCTTGCCTGGGCACGTTTTCTGAGGTCCGAGTGCACCCTCGAAGATCATGCTGTTCCTGGCGGTTTCCGGGTGAAGGACAACGAGGTGATGCATCTTTTGAGGGAGGAAATCAGAGGGTACGCGGAGAATCATTCCCCTCGCGGTGAGAACAGAACGCGCGGACTCGCTTCAAATACAGAGAATTAAAAGTATCTATTTGTTTCTTTTTTTTCGAGACACAGTGCTCTCTGTTGCCTGGGCTACAGTGCCGTGTGCGATAGCCTCGTCTACGCAGACCTCCTAACTCCTGCTCAAGCCATCCCTCCCTCGCCTCAGCCTCCCGAGTAGCGCTGGGACTACCAGGCATGCACCACCATTCCGCCGCTATTTTGTTCTTATATATTAATTTGAGTGGCCAATTATTTCTTTCTATTATAGTAGAGGAGGGTCTCATCTCTGTCAGGATGCGTCATCCTGGCATCTCGTCTGGGCACAGAGTGAGACTCTATCTACTAAAAAAAAAAAAAAATCATATGTTGAAGCCCTAACCCCCATGTTTGATGGCATTTGGAGTGGGGCCTTTGAGAGGTAATAGGTTTATGAGGTTTATAGCATGAGGCCCCAGGATGGGATTAGTGTCCTTATAAGAAGAGCAGAGAGTCACGAGCTGGTTCTTTTTTTCTGCCAGGTGAAGCACACCATGGAGGGTGTCCCATCTGCAAGCCAGGAAAGAGCCTCCCAGGGAGGCAAACAGGCCATCCCTGTGATCTTGGACTTCCCAGCCTCCAGAACCATGAGAAATAAATGTCTACTGTTTAAGCCACCCAGAGTACAGTACTTTGTTATAGCAGCCTAGGCTGCCCAAGATAAACATGCACTCAGTTCTCCTGGGGAACTTGCTATAATGCAGATTCCAATTCAGGAGGATGAAGGTGGGGCCCAGGATTCTGCATTTCTAACAAGCTGCCAGGTGGCCAGGCCGCTGATCGTGACCACATTGTAAGCATCAAGACCATAAGGAAGGGCCGGGCCGTGGCTCACACCTGTATCCAGCACTCTGGGAGTTGAGGAGGGAGGATCATTTGAGTTCAGTTCAAGATCAGCGTGAGCAAGAGCGAGATCCCTTCTCTACTCAAATAGAAAGAAATTAGCTGGACTAAATTAAAAATATCAACAGAAAAATTAGCCAGCGCATGGGTCGTGCACCTGTAGTCCCGCTACTGGGAGCGTAGGCAAGGAGGATCGCTGTGATACCCCAGGAGTATGGAGGTTGCTTGTGATCGAGAGACGAACAGAGCAAAGACCAATAAACATATGAACTAACAAAAGGTGTAATAACAAAACACCCAGCAATAGGGCAGGCTGAGGCGGGGCGCTAGAAAGAGTTGCTGTGTCATGATCATGCAACAAAACAAAGCCTAGAATGAATAAACGAAAGGGCCGGCAATAGGAATAACCGCCTGTAATCCGCTAGCACTCTGGGAGGCCGAGGCCGGGCGGATTGCTGGAGCCTCAGCGCGTTCGAAACCACCGCTGAGCAAGACGCCGACGACCTTCTCTACTATAAATAGAAAGACAATTAATTGGCGCATAAATATCCACACAAAAATAGCCGCGCTCGGTGGGCGCATGACCTTGTAGTCCCAGCTACTCGCAAAACAGAGGATCAACCTTGAGCCCCAGGAGTTGGAGTTTGCTGGGCTGAGTGAGGAGCTCAGATGCGCACGCACTACACCTAGCCTGGGCACAAGTGAGACCTCTGTCTAAAAAAAAAAAGAAAAGAAAGAAGAGAAAGGATAAAGGAAAGCAAAGATGGTGTGTGGCCGGGTTGCGTGACTTCGGGATCAGGGCACTGTGTGTTCCAAGGGGTTAGCTTTCGCAGTGCACATGACCAACAACACGGTGACTAAACATGTTATCGATAGAAGCTTTGATGTACTACCTGTGGTGCCGAGTCATATTAAGTCAGGTGCCTGGAGGTAAGGTCTGAGCCTGCTGGGGCGGGTGTTCTTAACAGGTTCGGGCGTGTCGGCGTGTAGCCATGTATATCGGTGCAGAATCGCAGAGGTCGTACTCACGTGGGGTCAGGTTGTCTTGAAGAATTAGCATGTTGGGACATCATGCAAACACAGTCTCATTTCTTATCCTGAAGCCCGGGGGTAGGTAGCGCGAGTCAGGATGCCCGCTTGGATTCGACGCTCTTGCTGGCACGGTTTTCTGAGTCCGAGTGCACCCTCGGAAGATCATGCTGTTCGGTCAGGTGAGCATGTCCTGAGAGCTTGAAGTGTTCTGGGTGCAGGAGTATCCCTAGGTTTCAGGGTGCCCTGGAAGGCCCTAAGGTCCTGAGCTGTGGGGGGTGTCCTTAAAGGGTCAGGGCGTGTGCTGGGCGTGTCAGAATGTACTTCCCGGGTCTGAGGAACCTCGAGAGGCATAGTACTGTGGGGTCAGGTTGTCCTTGAAGAATTAGCATGTTGGGACATCATGCAAATCACAGTCTCATTCTGAGTCCTGAAGCCCGGGGTAGGTAGGGAGTCAGGATGCCCCTGGGATTCAGACGCTCTTGCTGGGCACGGTTTTCTGAAGGTCCGAGTGACCTCGGAAGATCATGCTGTTCGGGGGTTTCCGGGTGAAGGAAGAGGTGATGTTTGTGAGGGAGGAAACCAGAGGGTACTGGAGAATCATTCTACAGTTGGGTTTAGGTTGTCCTGCAGGGTGGCTGGTATAGTCCGATATATCAGGATGTCTGGGAAGGAACTGCATGCACTTGTGACTTTTTGGGTTTTGGTTTTCTGGAAACAGGTCCTTGGGCGTCATCCCATGCTGAGATGCTGGGCAGGTCCTGCTCCTGGCCACCCCCTCCCTCCGCACCGTGGGGTTCTAAGGAGGGGGTCTTGGAAGGAATGCACGTTTTCCTCCTTCCCCTGCCCGCTCCTGGGAAGGGATTTAACAGGACAAAAGAGCCTGGTCCTCTGGGAACACGAGCTCTTGGCCCTGGTCCCCGGACCCTCTGACAGAACACCTTCCCTCATCCGGCTTGTGATCCTCCCCTGAGCAAGGGGGCTCCGGGGACCGGGGAATGATTGGAGGGGCCCACGGGGGCGAGGAGGAGGAGGCCGCTCCTCCAAGACTCGGGGGGAAAGACGGGTGGAGAGAAGGGGCGGAGAAGAGTAGAGACAGAAACAGAGACACAGGTGAGGCCCAGACAGAGGATGGGACGGCGCTCGCGCCAAGGAATGGGCGGTTAGGAGACAGGCAGAAGACGAGGAGAGGCGGTGGAAGGACAGGGGACACCTGCCTGTGTCTACACACACATCGGAGCCAGGCTGGTGCACAGACAGAGGTGAGACGGCAGAAGTAGAGAGACCCACCTGGCATCAGAGTCAGGGACAGGGCACCCCGGACGTCTTTGGTGCCTGTCGCTAGCCATGGAAGCGGAAGGGAGGAGTCAGCAGGGAAAGCCAGAAAAGGGGCCAGTTTGCACCAGCCTCTCGCCCGAGACCTGCCTGGCGGCCGGGACTCTGCCCTCCAGGACAACGACGGGTGAGTGTGTCCCTGGGCTGGGTGAGTGTGTCTCTGGGCTGGGTGAGTGTGTCCCTGGGCTGGGTGAGTGTGTCCCTGGGCTGGGTGAGTGTGTCCCTGGGCTGCAGTCGGGCCTCGGGCAGGCAGCCCGAGGGGAGGGGAGTGCGGCTCAGTGCCTAGGCTCCGGGGCAATGCTGTGCCTTGAGGAAGGTTAGACGTTAAATCCTAGCATGCTAGAACGGTGGGACCCTCACCAAGGGCGGGGCGGTAGGACCCCTTGTCACCACGGGAGGGCCAGGGTCACAGCTGGTGTCTGTCCCCTCGCTCCTGACCCCCCCCCCAAGCTCCTCAGCCCAGGGCACTGCCTTCTCGCCGGAGGGAGCAGGGGGCCAGGGCTTTGGGGCTCCGTGGAGGCGCCCCCAGAGTCCACGGTGAGCCCCGCTGGGCGCCACGCCCTCCGGTCCCCATGGGGATGCTGCCTCAGCCCCAGACATCTCCTTTCTCAGAGTGCTGAGCCTTCCAGGTGTCTCCTCTGCCCTCCCTGTCCTCTCCCTCCGCGGGCTCTCAAACTAATTAGTGCGGGGGGCTTACTGAGCCTGCGGGGAGGGAAAGACCAGCCTTTCCCACGAGCTCAGGTTCCCGCAGCAGCCCGGCGGCCAGGGCCAGGCAGGGTTAGGGGAGAAAATGGAGAGCAAGCGAGGGGAGGGTGTGTCAGGGCAGAAGAGGAGGAATGCTCCGTCTTCCCAGGTGAGGGTGCAGGAGGATGGGAGGCGCAAGGCGAACGCACACCCTAACAGAGGGCACGGGAAACGGGGCTCTTCCCTGGTTGCCGGGGTGGGTGGGTGCAGACGGCGGAGCCCAGGGCGGGCTGAGAGGTGGAGGGCACCCGGAGGGGCAGGTGTCTGCAGGTGCATGCAGCAGACAGCGGGCACTCGGTGGGGTTGCCAGGTGGGCGTGATGAGTGCCCGGGACGGGAAGGAGTCTGAGGCTGTCTGTGCTTGTGGCAGCACAGCCTGGTGTTGGGGACTCAGAGGGGACACAGGGGTGCAGGGGGCGGCTGAGCAAGGTGCAGAAACAAGGGTTGCGAGTGCTGGGGGTGCCCGGCGGGGGAAGGAAGGGGGTTCCTGGTGAGCCCCAGAAGCGACTCCTTCCACTTCTCCCTTCCTCCCTCCCCAGCCGCTGCTGCTCAGCCCTGCAGGAGGCCGAGGCTCTGCCCGCAGGGAGCCCAGAGGGGCCGGCAGCCCTCCCGCCGCCACCGCACCAACTTCAGCCCCGGGCAGCTGGAGCAGCTGGAGTCCGCCTTCGGGAGGAACCAGTACCCCGACATCTGGGCACGGGAGGGGCTCGCCCAGGACACCGGCCTCAGCGAGGCCAGAATCCAGGTGATGCCCCGGCGTCCCTCCTTCCCTTGGAAAGCAACAAAGGCTTCTTTGGTGCCGGGGGCCTGCCTGGCTGCGGGTGCACTGTCATGTGGCGTCAGACGTTAGACCCTGACCTGAATCCTTGCCAGGATACAAGCCTCATCTAAGCTCCACATAACCTCATCTGCATCAGAGATCATGTCGGACAGTTTGAACCAAGCTTAACTTGGATTTCAGCACCGACCCCAAGCTTTAGTAGCGATGTGCATTTGGGCCGGGCGCGGTAGCTCACACCTGTAATCCTAGCACTCTGGGAGGCCGAGGCGGAGGATCGTGCGAGTCGGGAGTTTGAGACCAGCCTGAGCAAGAGCGAAACCCGATGTCTACTAAAAATAGAAAGAAATTAATTGGCCAACTAAATATATATAGAAAAAAACTAAGCCGGGCATGGTGGCACATGCCTGGAGTCCCAGCTACTCAGGAGGCTGAGGCAGGAGGATGACTTGAGCCCAGGAGTTGGAGGTTGCTGTGAGCGAGGCTGACGCCACGGCACTCACTCTAGCCCGGGCAACAGAGTGAGACTCCATCTCAAAAAAAAAAGAAATAGTGACATGCATTCCAGCAGAAATTCAGTGCTAACTGTTCACAGACATACCTAACCTTGTCCCTAACCATAGCCTTGAAACTCAACCAGCCTGCTGCCCCTGGTCCTAGCCACAGAGTTAAAACAGCCTTGAGTAAAATAAAACCCTACTCTAAAAATCCAAGGCTTCTCTAGCAATAGTTAAAGTATTCCGAAGTCTAATTGTCTAAACCCTAGCTCAGGGGAAATTTCCGATTCTCTGGGGAGGGGAAAAATGTCATCATTTATCATTATTGTATCTCTTTCTTGAAAGTGAGTCTTTTTTTTTTTTTAGTTGCCTGCAGAAAAGGATCGTTTTTTTTTTTTTTTTTTGAGACAGAGTCTGGCTTTTTGTCGCCCAGGCTAGAATGAGTGCCGTAGCGTCAGCCTCGCTCACAGCAACCTCCAACTCCTGGGCTCAGGCGATCCTCCTGCCTCAGCTCCTGAGTAGCTGGACTACAGGCATCGCCACCTCGCGCCCGGCTAATTTTTTATACGTATATATATATATTAGGTGGCCAATAATTTCTTTCTATTTATAGTAGAGATGGGGTCTCGCTCTTGCTCAGGCTGGTGTTGAACTCCTGACCTCGAGCGATCCGCCCACCTCGGCCTCCCAGAGTGTTGGGGTTACAGGCGGGAGCCACCGCGCCCGGCCGCAAGTTGACCTTTTCTTACTTACTCAGTGTTGCAGAAACCGGACAAACGTAGTGGTGGGTTGGGAGTGAGGGTGTGGGTGTCACTTTGCGGGAAGATGGGGCTCAGCCGAGCCCGCGGCACTCTGGGAGAGGCTCGCCCCTGCACCTTTACCTCCTGTCCTTGGAGGGAGAGGGGTGCTGCCCCCGCCTCTTTGAGACCTGGGTCTGACGCGGCTCTTCTCCCCCTTCCCCAGGTCTGGTTCCAGAACCGCAGAGCCAAGCAGAGGAAGCACGAGCGGTCTTTGCTCCAGCCACTGGCCCATCTGGCTCCTGCCGCCTTCTCTGGTTTCTTACCCGAGTCCCCTGCCTGCCCCTACTCCTACACAACGCCTCCTCCACCAGTGCCCTACCTCCCTCACCCCTACAACCACGCCCTTCCCTCCCAGCCGCCCCCAGGTGGCTCTTTTGTTCTTCCACACCAGCCTGAGGACTGGTACGCCACCCTGCACCTGGCGTCCACCCGATGCCCGGCCCTCATTTTTTCCTATATATATATACTTAGTTAGCCAATTTAATTCTGTTCCTTTTGTAGTGAGACGGCGTGTCTCCGCCTACTTGCTCAGCGCTGGTCCTCAAACTCCGTGACCTCGGAGCCGATCCTCCCCGCCCTCGGCTCCCAGGTGGATCGGGATTGACAGGCGTCGAGACACCGGCGCACCGGCCGCAGAGTTTGACCTTTTTTACTTTGATCAGTGTATGCAGAACCCGGAGAACGTAGTGGTGGGTTGGGAGTCGAGGGTGTGGGGTGCTCCACTTTGCGGGAAGATGGGGCTCAGCCGAGCCGGCGGCCACTCTCGGGGAGAGGCTCGCCCCTGCACCTGTACCCGTCCTGTCCCATGTTTTTTTTTTTTCCTTTTTTGGAGGAGAGGGGTGCTGCCCGCCTCGTTAAAACAGCCTTGAGTAAAATAAAACCCTACTCTAAAAATCCAAGCTTCTCTACAATAGTTAAATGTATCCGAAGTCTTAATTTCTAAACCTAACGCTACGGGGAAATTTCCCATTCTCTGGGGAGGGGGAAAAATGTCATCATTTATCATTATTTATCTCTTTCTTTTTGCAAGTTGACTTTTTTTTTTGAGACAGAGTCTCGCTTTTGTTGCCTAGGCTAGAGTGAGTGCCGTGGCATCAGCCTCACTCACAGCAACCTCAAATTCCTGGGCTCAAGCGATCCTCCTGCCTCAGCCTCCCGAGTAGCTGGGACTACAGGCATGCGCCGACCCAATCAAGCTAGTGAAGCGGATCGCACAGACGGCATGCGTTGGAGTTCTTCAGTCCTCATCTCTGTGAATGAAGCCCCTCGCAGTCCAGGCCTGGGATCCCTGCCCTGCGTCCACGCGGGTCTCCCAGTTCCGCTCCACTGAGGCGTTTTACCTGTGTTTCTAGTTAGCTCTCGTCACCGGATTAATTCTTCTCCTTAATCCCTCAGTGAGTAATTATCTCTTTTTTTTTTTAAGACAGAGTCTCACCTCTGTTTCGGCCCAGCTAGAGTGATGCATGGCGTCACTCGTCGCCTTGGCAACTCACGCTCGGGCTCAGCGATCGCTCTGCTCAGCTCCGAGTGGCGGACTACAGCATTGGACACGCCACACTGCTACGTTTTTTCTGTTGGCGCCAGATACATTTTTTCTAATTTTAGAGAGACCGGGCTGCCTCGTTCTCAGCGCTTGTTCAAACTCTGAGCCCACTGATCGCTCCCGCGCCTCGGCTCCAGCGTGCCGGGATCACAGGTGTGAGCCACTCGCCCGGCCTACCCCACACAAAAAAAAATCATCTGTTTTTTTTTTTTTTAATGCCAATAACTGTGCTGCTGCACTGTATTTCTGCTGCAGCCTTAGAAGGAAGGAGCCCGCGCCAGGACGTAGGTTTCACAGGGCTCCCTTAGCGCGCACGGTCACGATTATCAGCACTCGTCTGATCTTAGTTCCAGGACTTTGGTGGCTCAAGGCTGAGGGGAAGCATGGGTGGGGGTGGGGAAGGGCAAGTGACCAGCGGGGTGGGTGCAGGTGGCGTACAAGTCTCAGGCTGGTGTGGAAGAACAAACAGAGCCCTGGGGGCGGCTGGGAGGAAGGGCGTGTTGTACGGGTGACGGGACGGTACGGCACTGTGCGAGGGCGTTGTTAGAGTAGAGGGCAGGCAGGGGGCTCGGGTAAAGAAACCCAGCAGAAGGCGGCAGGAGGGCGCAGATGGCAGTGGCTGGAGCAAGACGCTCGGCTTCTCTGCTCTGGCTCGCGGTTCTGAACAGACTGGGGAAGGTGGGAAAGCCGCGTCAGACCAGGTCTCAAAGAGGCGCAGGCAGCACCCTCTCGCTCCAGGACAGGAGGCTCGGGCGAGGCTCTCCAGCAGTGCCGCGGGCCTCGGCTAGCCTGCATCTTCCGCGCAAAGTGACACGCCACCCCTCACCCCGCACCACT